GGGGGGGCAGACCATTAACATGCAGCAAAAATGATATAACACTTTACAGGAAAGGGAAAAGCCCAAAAGGCATAATCGAGCCTCTTTATTAATCATTAAAACTTTTCTCCGTTTTCTCCCAGATTTTAACGTAGACATTGAAGGACATGTATTGATTTACAAGTGGTCTTCACGGGGGTCACACATCTATCTCAGCCTAACAACATGGTGACAAGACAGAATGTCTGGTCAAAACAACCAAGACTGTAACCCTCCTGCCACAGGCCGGGTGACACAGGTGTTCCCTTCACAGCTCTTCACACATCAGCTGGAGGACACCCAACCTAAGGTATTCCTGTTGGGGGGGGGCTGCAGCACGGTCAGATCTGTTCAAGGCCAAAATCAACTCTGACAAAGGTCTGGAGCGTGTCCAGTTGAGGGGCGTTATGGGGGGCATCTGCTTTCAGATGATGTTGTCCTTGTGGCATCATCGGACTGTAGTCTGTGATGAGCGTTGGCACCGTGAGCAGCTGACTGCAGTGTGACATGGAGGAATGGGAAAACCTCTGAATCTCAGACTGTTGTTGTCCACGAATAATTAATCATTGGCAAAGGAGGAGTTTGATGTTACTTAAGCTCTTCATCATAACTGAGGGTACAGCAGTTAAGATGGTATGACTGAGATGAGTAACTATGCAAGCTCTTGATTTACGGACCAGACGTCTTTCCAACTGTCATCTATTGTTGGAGTTGGGTGGGGACCAACAATTAGTTCAAGGAATAAAAGATTATTTGGCTTCCTGTCTTACAAACAGCTGCTTCTCCAAGTCAAGAGGAGACAGATAAGCTGGCCTATGAGTTTATTAGAAAAGGCTGACTTGGCAGAGATCCCAGGCCAGACCAGGACACATAGCAACGCATCTTCCAGCACAACACTGTGGAAGGCTTGGAGTCAAATAATAAAGATACAAATGTCTTTGTTCTCCTTCACCTGCCACCAGAACCATCAAAAAAGAATGAAGATGGATGTACTTATTTCTACTCTTCGGGACATTTTATACCTTAAAGAAATCAACTTGAAAAAAGCCCATGAAAACTGACTGCAATGTGCTCTTATGACAAAAATATCTAAATCAATGCAGCAGAACCACAGATAACTTCATATTTATTCCACATATTCTTCTACTTCAGGGGTGTCAAACTCAAATACACAGTGGGTCAAAATTAAAAAATGGGTACTAGTCGAGGGCCGGACTGGTTCAATGTTTATTGCAGAACTTATTGAAATGGACTTATTGCACATATTAAACCTGGAACTAACAAAGCTTAAATGATTGCCTATAAAAACAACATTAAACATTAAATAATCAGTTGCATTCATTTCTTATGGCTCTGCAGCTTTTCCACAGGCCAACAACAGCTTCAACAAAACAATTTCCCTCAAAGAAAAAAACAAACATGCCCTGCTGGTGTCGCAAGAAACAAAGTGCAGAAGGAAACATCCATTGAAACTCAGTTTGCTGCTCTGTGATGCTAGTTCAAGCCAGGTACTTGGCATCTCATCTTGGGTGCAAGTTCATCAATGTTTGGGNGTGTGTGTGTGTGTGTGTGTGTGTGTGTGTTTGTGTGTGTGTGTGTGTGTGTGTGTGTGTGTGCCTTGGCAGGTGAGAAGGTGTGCGTGCAATATACCGGCGGGCCAGATCTAATAGTAATTAGAAATTATCCTGCGGGCCAAAATTAAATCCACCACGGGCCTGATTTGGCCCCCGAGCCTTGAGTTTGACACATGTGTTCTACTTTGTTGAAACCTGGCACCTACATTACCAACAATACCATTTGACTGCTGATATATGAGTCAGACTCTAGAGTTTTAGGCCCCTTATATAATGAAGAAACATTAATTACTTTGTTGTATTTATATATTTTGTATTGTTCTCATATTTTAATGTCAGTTTTTTTCCTATCTGTTTAAGGCACCTCTTCCTATTTGATATTTTTCATTGAAAAATCTGAAAGCCATTTTGTTTGTACATGACATTTTTTTAAATAAGTGTTTTTATGCTAGTCTCAGCTAATGTAGTCTCAAGCCGAGGTTTGGTAAACTCACTTCTGTTAAACTCCACATCTAAAGATAATTCATTTAGACATCTGTCGCCACATTAGGCTTTAATAAACGATTAAAACATATACAGTGAAAACCTAGGTCCCAAGCAGACTTTGATGAGAAGTAATCAGCAAGTCGCCCTCATTTGATTTTTAATTGTGCAGCATATTAGATGAGCTACACAAGATAAATATTCTTAGAAAACGTAATGCCAGGAGTTTACCTTCAGGGATGGCAGCCACAGCCAGAGCCACAGCGATCTTGAAATAGTAAACAGCGCCACGGATCCAGGAGCCTCCGTGGACGGGGTCGTTGAAATGTCCGATGTTGATCATCCACACGGCCACACAGATGAGGGAGATGACCTGCAGAGAGGCAGAGGGTGTGTAAGACATTGGTGGTGGCTTTGTTGGATCTACAAATGTCCTATATTTTGTTATATCTTATTTCACAGAATGAATCAAAAGAGATAAAAACTTTATTGATACAGTTTCAGATGTGTCTTCCTGTCTCACCCACCTTGGACAGCTGCTCTCCGAACTCGTCCAGTTTCTGCTGCAGGGGGGTCTTCTCCTGCTCGGTGGCGGCCATCTGGTCACGAATCTTACCGATCTCAGTTGAGACAGCGGTGGCGATAGCAACGCCAGTCGCTCTGCCTGAAGCGATGTTGGTGCCCTGGACAGAAAAACATTACAAAGTTGGTTAATAAAGCTTACCATAATTCGTTTTTAAACAGAAATGAATGTTGAAAAATTCGATAAATGTTGGAGTTTTTCTTTTGGCGCGTCCGTGAGGTTGACATTTGTGGTTTTAAGTGAAATGTGTCAAATTGGGGAAATTGTCATGATGTGCGAACCGAATTCATGATGATTGGTTAAGACATTCAAATCTATTTGTATTCAGGGAAATATCTACCAATCATGTTTGAGCAGGCTTTTTCGAATGCAGGTAAAAAGTCTAGCGAGAAAGGTAGATCACATTGGACAGAATGACATTTTTTGAAGTTATTCAGCTATTGAATGACCACTTTTTACCTTAATGATCTAAAACTAAATACATATAAATATTCTTCTTTAACTATCAAGTTGTAGACGTCCTCTCTCAACTCCATTCACGCCAGGTTGCTAATTGGACTCTAACCGATGACCAGCACACAGAAAAGGAAGTCTTAAAAAAATATTGACCGGTACCTCGGTAGGTGATTTGGACTGATAACTAATGGGTTTTGAGATGTAAAAAATGATGGCACAAACTTTATTTGGTATGTAAAGTGTTTTAACTGTAGTGTGTCTAAAGCTATGACAAGGAAAATGTTGATAATGGAAAAAGTTGGATATGCTATAGAGAGTTGACAGTTGTAGGGTTTCTGGAGAATGAACAGCACGGTAATGGTTTGATGCAACATAAAGGTTTTAAAGAAAGCAGGACTCAAATAAAAAAGACTCACGGAGAACAGCATGTTCTTCTTGTCCTGGTTGACGGCTCGGGGGTCTGGGACGGCATCGGTGTGTTTGATCACACTGACGGACTCACCTGTAGGACACACACACACACGTTGGGCAGTGTGGTCAGTAAATCATGCAGACATGAAAAAATACTTCATGTGTTTCTGTCCTCCAACACTTACCAGTGAGAATGGACTGATCCACACGCAGGGTGGTAGACTTGATGGAGATGAGCCTGATGTCAGCTGGCACTTTGTCACCAACTAGAGTCCACACAAACACACAGACACACAAACACACAGAAACACAGATTATTTTATTTAGATATGGATCGTTTTATATGATCTGTTTGGCTGCTTTTGTCTTTGGTACAGTACAAACAGCTTCATATCAATTGAATGCAGCATTACAGCAGGGTAGTGTGTGTGTGTGTTTGTGTGTGTGTGTGTGTGTGTGTGTGTGTGTGTGTGTGTGTGTGTGTGTGTGTGTGTGTGTGTGTGTGTGCGTGTGTGTGTGTGTGTGTGTGTGTGTGTGTGTGTACGTACGTGCGTGCGTGTGTGTGTGGTGTGTGTGTGTGTGTGTGTGTGTGTGTGTGTGTGTGTGTGTGTGTGTGTGTGTGTGTGTGTGTGTGTGTGTGTGTGTGTGTGCGTGCGTGTGTGTGTGTGTGTGTGTGTGTGTGTGTGTGTGTGTGTGTGTGTGTGTGTGTGTGTGTGTGTGTGTGTGTGTGTGTGTGTGTGTGTGTGTGTGTGTGTGTGCGTGTGTGTGTGTGAGTGAGAGAGAGAGAGAGAGAGTGTGTGTGTGTGTGTGTGTGTGTGTGTGTGTGTGTGTGTGTGTGTGTGTGTGTGTGTGTGTGTGTGTGTGTGTGTGTGTTAGAGTGAGTGTGTGTGTGTTGTGTTTGTGTGTGTTGTGTGTGTT